ACTTTGACCAAGTCATCAAACTCATCAAAATACAAAGTTTACCTCCTTCTAAATGCAGATGTTTAGGAATGAACGACAATGTAAGACAAAGACGAATTTCTCCAAAATCATACAAACTGGCTTATTGTTAGTTGGAAATGTTGTATGTTGGTTTGAAATGGTTTTGTTGAAGTAACAATAAAAAGATTAGTTTAATCCATTAATTTAGTTTAAGTTTAATTCATAAACATTTGATGTGGTTCAGAGGAAAACACAGACAAGTGTATGGATGTTGTTTAAAATCACAGCCTGAGTTTGTGATTTATAGATAGTCCCTAAAACCCTTGTCTCCTTGTGGTGTTGTCTTTCCATCTGAAAACATCACAAAGCACAACACCTTGGCCTTCTTGGCTGGATCTCCCTCACTAGGGTTCGGTGGTCTCTTTGGGTGGCGGGTCTTGGGGGTCTGGACAGCTCTGGGGTGGGTGGGCTGTTGGTCCCGGTTTCTGGCGGTCTTCTTGGCTCTGTTCTTCTGTGGTCTTGGGCCCTCAGGCCTGGCAATCTGTCTGGTGGGGAAGGTATGGGACCTCATTCCATGGGTGGTTGTTGGGGGGTGGGGGGGAGCTGACTCCCTGTGGGAGCATTTGCTCCTTCATTTTTCTCCCCATCCCTCACCACGTACCTCCACCCTCTTCATTTTCCAGTTTCACACATGTAGGGCTTTTTGTGCTGCAGGTGCATCACAAGGAGCAACAATTTTACATCTCCGGTTGCCAGACCACCCAGGCCCCAGTTTTACTGTACACCCTAGACATTCACTCATAACATTCCTCTGTGCTCATGCCTGGATCTGTACCAGCAMGGCAGGTGCCGGCGGAGCCTGTGAACTCGTCGCTGCTGCCCCCGGGGGGCTACCGTGTGGGGTCGCTGGTGGGGCTCTCCTGGTTCTCGCCTAAGGTCCAATCTGGGGGGTGGGTGGGTAGTTCTTCCCGTGCGGGTGCCCTTGGGGGCCTGGTGCTTTGGGTGTCTCTCGGGGTCCTTGGCTCTGGTCTCCCTTATGTCTGCCTCGGGCCTTGGAGGTCGGGTCTGTGAGTCTCCACAGTCACTATTAAATATTCCATTGGAGAAACCTTGTACATACATGTTCACAACCACACAAAGATGTGTATTCAGATCCAGGGTTTTCTGACGGTCACTGAAT